TTGACAAACTCTTGGAGAGTCCTTCTCATGCAGTGGATCGAAGAAGACTGATAATGTTAGAGTGGCAGTTTTTATACGAACTTTTTTGTCCGCTCACATTCAGTTGCTTGTTTCCCCCTCCCATCGAAATATTTTAAAAACTAATAAGAAATTAAAATATTAATGCTTAACATTTAATTTAGACTATTACTCGTGCTCAGCCTGACGTTCCGAAGATTGCCGAAAGACAACGAGTACCTATTTGGATAATTGTTGTTTCTGTTGTGGGCGGTATCTTCATACTTTTCTTGATCATCGTTGGCTTTTGGAAGGTAAGCATACGTTTTTACATCTCGCAATGGGGTTTTTCGCAGATTATCTACTATTAGGCATAGTACATCCATAAAGATTCGGCTGTTCTCAGTTTGTCACTGTGTGCGAGCTGATTTAAAGCACTGTGGATTATTACTGAATTAATTTCTGAATATACATTTCTGCATTAATAGATACCAATTACCTAAACTTACAACTGATCGGTACCGGTTTCATGCCTTGATAGTTCTTTCTGTAACATCAGTACTCTGTCAGAACAAAAATTTATTATGCAGCGGCATTTTGCCACTGATTCTTAAAAATTCATAAGTTGTATTGTTGTTTTATTTAATGTCGTAAAATCTTTCTACATGGTCAGCTGGCTGGATATGCCACAGAGGACACTCTCCATGGGTTGAGACCCGCCATGAGGAGTGCACCAAGCGCTGAATACCGATGGGCTGGATTAAGGATGTGGAGGACAAAGGCGATGAACTGCTTACGAAAGTCGCCAAAATTACGTTACGACCGGAAGAATACCGGGGCCATAAGTGGTGGTACCCCCTCGGCTTTCCTAAAACAGGGATTACTTATATCTCACCTAGTGATGGGCTATCATCAGGATATTTGTGGTTGGCTGCAATCAGCTGTCGTCAGACGAGCTGGTCGATATGTACATCACTGAAACGAGGATGTTCTCACGTGTGCGAAACCCGAAGATCGGCCGTACATTTCGCACTGTGGAAAAGTGGTGATCTGATATTTCTCAGGAAAGCGTACAAAAGCCTGGCTGAGACAGTTGATGTCGGATTCATCATAAAGGAAACGACTACCTCTCACAGTCAGCTGCAGCTTCATACAACCTCGTGTAGAAGTACTAATTTTGTGGGTTAACAAGATAAGATTACTGACGGTAACCGAAGTTTACAGCCTAAAATAGGAAGCGGACGATGAGGTAGTGGAGCAGTTTTTCGAAGAACTAGAAAGCCCAGTGCAAAACAAGTTCACGTACAGAATCATCTAAGGAGGTTTCAGCTCCATAGTAGCGAAGAAACCATCCAGGGAGAACATTTTCTTTTCCATTTGTAAGTGGAGAGTAAAACGGACGCGGCTCCAGCCTCATAGCTTTTGGAACCGCTTCCATGTGATGAATACCGTTTTTGAAAAGCCACGAAGCGGCAGTGGAACCCTAATGGAAAACCCTTAACCAAATCGACTGTTATGAGGCACTCAAGGTGGGTAGTAACAGGTGTTGGTGTATCAGTCGTTGGAGAAAAAATCGTATGCACGCGTTAGACAACAGATTACTCCGCTTCACAGTCACCAAGCAGATAGGTTTAGTAGAAGGGCTCAAAACCTACCACCCACTGGACAAATATTCGATCCTTAAGACAAACTTCTTCAGTTGAACATAGTAATAGGCATGCTGACTACTAGCACTTCATCGACCACCCGGTCTTCCTGTCGGGCACCAATGTCAAAGAGGAAACGACGCATAAGCCTTGCAAGGAGACAACTGTTGGCCAAAAACGTTAGAATGAAGGCTGATAAATATATGGAGTACGAGTACACTGGGTTGTGCAAAGAAATGCGGAAGAAAATTTGAGGAGATTATGACGATTACAGAAGAATGAAGCTAAGAGAGGTCGCATTAAAAGAAGAATAACTTGAAGGCCGCGGAAAATGGTGTATTCCTAAAAAAGCGGTTTCCGGTAACACTAACGTACGAATGAGGAAAAAGAACTATAGATCTTTGTGAGGTTCTACAAAAAGCATTACTCCTCGAAGGTAGAGGTAAACCGAAAATCGTTCCCGATTTCACTTGGGACGAAGTAGATTGGACGATCAAGAATATCAAAGTGGCAGATATCATGGAAGGGACGGCAAAAACCAGCACAATCAAGTCAGGAGGAATGACCTGATATTGAAGAAGACAACTGAAGCATAAAAGATTGACTGTTTAACGATTATTCTCTTCAAGAGAGATGACACTAAAGACCTTCAAAACTGTCGATCCATCACTTTCCTGTCAAACACCAAGGTCTGCCAACACGCTCGGACAACCCAATGATGACGCGGTTGGCAGAAAAGGACACAATCTGAGAAGCGTGAGAAATGTTGACTTGCATCTGTGGCATAGCCGATGACCAAAGCAAGTCGGATTGAAGGAGAAAGTGTCATGAAATTCATGGCTACATATTTCTTTATCTTTTCACCGGATTTGCACCAGAAAAACTAAGGTAAATTACTTCTTAGCGATACAGTAATAGTGTAAGTCGGATGTTAGTCATTACATCGAGTTGTACTGCCTCCATGCTTCTAGTCTTCTATGGGGACTAAGCTGGTCACGGCTCTATCGCATTTAAAAGTTCTGCAACGTATGATGCATAAGCCACATCACCAGTTGAATCGAAGAAGCACATGCTTCCGGCATCAGAAACTGTCATTCGTATTAGCTACTCCGTGCAATCGGGGGGGGGGTATTGTATTTTCTTTATATATTTTTTTG